CGTTTTTAGGTTTGCTTACTGTCGCAGTGCCGTTACTGAAATCTGCAACCCCACTCAACTCATCCCCATCGTATCCCTATATATTTTTTCTTATTTTTTGAACTCGTGGATACAGCAGTGGCACACCTGGTTCGAGAAGAGCATCGATACATGGGGCCATGGTTTTGTAGTTCTTATCCGAATATTAATAGTGGTGGAGAGATAGACCCAGTATTAAGCGGGGAAAGATATTAAATGGTTAAGGTCGATTTTATTGTTAGATTATTTTGGAATTTTCTCACACACTATCTCAGAATCGTCAAAGGTCTTATGATATATGATATCGTATACTACTAAAATTATATATGAATATTTCTTAAAAGCAATTGCTACCTTCTCTTAAATTATTTAAACAAATTGCTTCCCTTTCATTCTTTAAATAGAAGTGTACAAAGTCATAAATGACTAAACTTTTATTAAATAAAAAAAATAAAAAATAAACATAATACAACGTCTATAGCAAACAAACAATATCAATATATATGTTTCAGGCATTTTCTGAAAGTATACATTTTGTAAAACACCTAAAAGTTTAAGCATTTAGTAAAAAAAAAAGATTTTAGGTGTTTTAGTCATTTTATAAAATGACTAAAATTTTCAGGAATGTTACAAAATGTCTGGAAATTTAAGCAGGTATTTTGTAAAATGCCTGAATGTATTTATGTAAAAGCTAACACAAAGCATTATCTCGTTGAAATTTTAATGAATTGTGTTTAGAAACTATTTACTACAAAAAAGCAACAAATTTTATAAACTTCTAAGAGGTTCCGTTTGGACAATCGTGATTTTTTAATTTCGTTCTTACCCGCGATGCGCGATGGTTTGATGGTGAAAGCGCGATGGTACGATGGTGAAGACGATCGCGCCATCCTGTTTTCACCATCGTACAATTGCATTTTCACCATCGTGTCATCGCCCTTTCACCATCGTACCATTGCGTTTTCACCATCTCGCTTTCACCATCGTACCATCGTGTCCACCATCGTACCATTGCGTTTTCACCATCACGCTTTCACCATCGTACCATCGTGTCCACCATCGTGCCATTGCGTTTTCACAATCGTACTCGAGTCTTATTATCAATAAATAATCATCGAAATATAAATAGAATTTCATAATGTTTTCTGCAGGCACTCTATTTTATTGGTTTTATACATATAACTAATATCTAGCTTTGATCTTCATGATCTACATGTGAATATACATAAACAACTTCTTGAATGACATATGTTCCTCAGTAAAGGCAATTCTTGCAAAACTTTGACTTCTTCAATGTATTTGATTGCTACAGACTATTGCATCACTATCATAAATATGAAAGTTCAACGATATTATCAATCTAAGCTTTGCATCCCTAAAATATATATTTTTTTAGCTTATTTAAAAGTAACACATCAAATGTTTCTTAATTTAAAACAAGAAGTATCTTTATAAAAGATACTCGGCCGAAGTAAAACTGGTTAACATGCAAAATTATGTTATTTCTAAGTTTTCAATACAAAAAAAATATTGGTAATACTTGCATCAAAATGGCATAATAATTATTTCTTGTTTTTAAGATAATACACATTTTGTAAACATTGAAATTGAATTATAGCATATTGATGATTTTTTAAAATATGATAACTTCTATATTAGGGGTCCCTTTTACTTGTTTTACTTTTGACTTTAATAATTTTGTAATCATTTACAAAGAATTATTCTTTACATTTTATTTTATAGGGGCAAAAACTATCCCATACATTTTATTTAAGTGCTATCCTTAAAACTTCATTTTAGTATTGTTAGAACCATCTATTATATTTTGTTTTAGAATGGTTAGAACTATCCTTTCCATCTTATTTTAGAATGACCAATGAGATTAACCGATTCCAGTTTGTAATTTAAAAATGCCCAATGAAAATTCTTCTTGGTTTCAGTCCTTCCCTGTTTACTTTTCAGGAAGTAAAACTGATAACAGACGGACTTTGTCCGAAAAAGATCACCATTTATGTGTTTAAATTTTGTATTCTGCTGGAGTCAGTGCCAGGGGGTGTGAACGATAGCTTGCAATTACACAATCGTCCATAGATCAATCAGACCGAGCCTGTAACATTGCTGATTTCGCCGTTTTGGGCGTTCTTTATGGATTCCAATTTCCATTGATTACATAGGACTTTATTATGTGTAGATGGACAATTTGTTTAGAGTTTCAGTTTATGCTTTATAAATAATTAATTCACATTATAATGTCAATACTAGTTAAGATATCTCGTAAATGAATGATTTTACCATTTACATGTATACTCTAATGAACATAACTTAACTTAAACGCCCATTTCACAAAAAATATTAATTTTAACTCTTCACTCTAATAAAAAGATCTTAATGATTTCATAACAAACAATTCATGTACTGTTTGGAAAGAGTTAAAATTAATTTTTTTTTTGTGAAATAGGAGTTACTGACAGCTCAGAATGATCCGACGGTATATAGATTTATTACATGTAACAGCACCAGCTTTCATTTTTTTCTTAACAATATTGACTACAATTTTTAACATGGTATGTAACAATAATTTTCGTGAACTTTGAATTTTCTCATAATGCCAGTACTGACAATGTTACATCTGTTTTATGTGTTTCATTGATATCAAAAGTACATTTTACTTGGTGCTATTCTTTCAACAAATGATAAGAACTTCAGTCTATGTTTCTAATGTTTGGCCAATTACAAGACATGCAAAGATACATTTGGACAAGTTATTGTTTCAGTAATGTCTAGACAACAGGTTAAGAGTTCACTTTGAAAATATTCTGTATGATTGCTCCGTGCCTACAGGTGCGGAGCTATTTGTGTTTACTATTTTTTTGTCTATGGACCCGATTTTTATCAATTAATCCTTTTGATAAATGGCTAAAGATAAATTCGAAACGAAGAATTCCTTCCGATTTCTATTATGTAAAGTCATATACAAATGTATTGGTTTCCCCATATCATAATTATGTCATATTAATGAATGAGAACGCAGGCAGTACAAAAGACAAAACAAACAAGAAATGTCGAACGACACATATATGCCCCCCCCCCTTTCTAGCCCTTGACTCACATTATTGGTTATTTTGTTATAGAAACTTGCCATAAATGGGTTCAGTTATGAAAAAAAAAGAAAAATAATGAAGACTTTGTGATAAATAGCTTTCAAGATAATGAGAGGAAACCATTTTGACATTTAAGGCCCCTGTGACCTTGACCTTTGAACTAGTGATCCTAAAGCAATACGGGTCATCTACTGGTTTTGACAAATCACTATGTGAAATATGTAGAATTTGTGATAATTAGCTTTCAAGATAATGAGCTGAAATCAAACTACCATTCAAGGACACCCTGACCTTTGACCTGGTGACTTGACACTCTTTATAAATTTATCCAAAAAAACCATATTTACGAATTGTAGTATCATAGTATTATCATTTTGAAATTTTCTTTTCCGTAAGTTCACTTCGGTAAATTAATAGCTCCTTTCTTTTTGCGGCTTTGATTGTCCTCATTTTACAGTGAATATTTAAGTCGACCATGATTTCCTGAATTTTTGCTGTGAGAAGTTCATTTTATTTTGTTTAAAGACATGGTGGTTTGAGTCGAATGTTGATTTGCCGAATACTGTGACATTTTAACTACAGAAACTTTCGTCTGCAGTTTAAACATGACGAGTTATGGGTTTATTGATAGGAATGTAATCACACTGGTGGGTCAGACGAGGATGAAGCAATTCAACAAAATAGTAGATTGATCTCCTAATTAACAGTTATTCATCACCAATGTCAAGTAGCTTTTATATCTTTGACTCAATGAACATGATGTTATTGAATTTCCTCATACCTCAGTCTTCCATTATATATTGATAAATATTTTGTCACTTTATTAACATGCCATGCAGATTTGTTAATTATTTTTAATGTACCATTATTTTTGTAAACGAGTATAACAAAAAAATCCTGAAATTAGTCTTTTTGAAATTCATCCCAAATTTTTTATTCCAGTGTGTGTTCTTCTTTCTGTATTGTATTTGTCTGGGACTTGAAATATAACTACTGTATCTTAAGTCAAAGGTATTAATGGAAACCATTTTTTTAATTTGACATGAAAAAAATGCATGTAATATTACTATATTAGTCCATTTTGTTTATTATTGTGTACATTTGTTACAATTATAATAATAAAAAACAGACTTTGTTTATTTTGACTACTGTTTTGTATGTTCCAAAGAAAATACATTTAACATTCTCATCTCTAGCAAGCCTACCAAAGTTCATGATGAACAATATGTCTTTCGTCCGCCAATTCATCTATGATATACAATAATATTCTGGTAAAATCCAATTAACCATTGAAAAGAAAATATGGCCATCAGATGTCTACTAGTTCATCGTCACTTGCTTCATTTCTTGCTTGGACGTACCTTATACATATCATTTGTTTTATATATACTGAAAATATTATCAACTTACAGATTTACTTAAACAAACAATCATTAAGTTCAGCGTTGTTTGAAAAGGTATGCATGTATATAATTACTGTGAATTCACTTTATTTTGTTGTCATGAAATTATATGGTTTTGTAAAAAGTTCAATTTCCTGGATTCATTGTCCCGCTTTTTGTTTCAAAAACAAAATAGTAAAAAATAGATAATGCAAATAATGTTATAAAAATAATCGGACAGCAGACGAAATGAATTTTCGTTTGATATTAAATTTATAAATAAACCTATTCAGGAAAACCACAAAATGTAAGTGCCCAACAAATGATATTGATATTTCAATGTTTCTTTTCTTCAGCAAGTATTTGTATCAGCTGTGGCATTTTGTAGACCCGGGTTAACTTCTTATTAAGACACTTACATGTTGCACACCGTTGCATATTTGCTTTCGTGTGCATTTTTTCACGAGTTTATTAATAACAATAAAAACAACAACAGATAATTTTTTTTCATTTTTATTTTCAACTAATTGTTGAATAAGACTTGCCAGAAATTATCATTTTACATTTGTTTCCTTCTCGTCTCTCATTTCTTGCTGTCGTTCGTTCTTATCATTTTTGTATGTCAACCTGTAATAAATAATAATGCATATGATGACCCTTACAAGATTTGCAAACATTTCGGCTATCACATGAGATAAAGGAAACAACGAAACATTGAATTATAAAAGCTTAATCATAAAGTTATATATACATATATAAGTAAATTTGCATATGCAAGTCAAGTCACATATGTATCCACGTTTTTTTTCAACTTCAAAGCACTTAAAAAAGGCTGACAGGTTTCAACCTGATTATTGTTTAAACATTTTGAACATCTTAACTATTATTCATATATCCTTCTCCGAAGCGAAACGAAAAGTGCCGAAAAGTCGAATTTTTTTTTTTATTATACCATATTGCTTCATTGTATTTTGACTGACTTAAAAACATCTAATATTACATTTGTGTATTGAACAGACATAATCAACAATAGCTAATGAAAAGAAAAAATATGCTTTAATGCTTATTATAAATGCCATTAGACTTTCTCTAAATAAATAATTTTCCTCAAAATGAAAAAAATTAATTTAGGATAAACTATATGAAATATCTTACAACATATTTGTATCCATAAACCTCCACTTCACACAGATGAAACATTGTTTCTTTCTTCCGTAAAGTTACCCTGACATAACGAGCTTTCACTGGTTTAAACTCAAAAGACCTGAAAATACCCATTTCGCCTCTCTTATACGCCACCTTATACCAATCACCAGGATTTTCTTGTGCTACTGAGATTTCAACGTTCTGCGCTCTTTCAGCTAAAATAACAATCATTTTCTACATCGACATAAACTACAAAAACAAATTTGAAAGTGCATTCGAATTGTCACAAACCTTAAGAAAGTACGTCAAACTTTTCACGAGCCCATGGCAAATCCATTACCTTAAATGAAATAATTCATTAATGAAGACATCTTTTTTAACCCAAACATTAATTAAGATAACGACATCGTTGAACAAGAAGTAAATAATTATGAACTTAAATATGTTAATTCGTATGGTTGTTTATACGGCTCAATGATACTTCTAACCTTTTTAAAAAATTTATTTATTAGTTGCCTCCATGAAATTAACACTCGTATATACCGCTTATTATTGTGAACGGTTGTATAGTACCGGTAATAAGATAAAAAAAACAACATACAGTCAGTGTCACTGTTTGTGATGTTAACTTGACTTATGGTATATACAGCCTGAAGATCGACTTCCCACCATGGACTTGTATTGTTCTTAGTATGGAAACAATGGTTGTTAGTAATTGTACTATCAGCATTACCATCATTCCCTTTGTTAGCAGTCCATGTTGTATTATAAACGCTTGACTGACTGGCTGGTTTCCCAAGGGCAATATTCACGAAAGCTGAAGCAAAGAAAAAGCTTTTTAAGTAATCACTAACTTTCACACTATAAACATTTATTGAAGAATATATAATGTATACTAGTATTTGTGTTCCCTAAAACTTAAGAAAAAACGCGTTTTATAGTTTTAATAGTAAAAAGTTTTTGTTTCTATGTGTTGGTGTGGGAGATATAATATTTTCTCAGGTAGCGATTTGCCTGTATTAACTACTTTGATATTCATTACTATACAGATAAAATCAGAATAGAGTCTACAACATACTTTACGAAATTCTCTTTTTTCACGAAAGTTACAAAAGAAGAAGACTTCTTCTTGTACGGGGATCGATCAAAAAGTTTTTTCGCCCGATGTACTTCCGGTAGTCAGAGAATCCAACTAATGGTCTTACTTTTCAATATAATCGCTCTCTACATTAATGCCCTTTGCCCATCTGAGCTTCAACTTGGTCAACTCTTCAAAATAAAACTCTGTTTTTTGGTCCTCAAAGAACTCATTGATAGCCTTAATGACACCTTCATTCCTTCCAAACGTCTACCACAAAGTTTGGTTTTCAGTTTCGGAAACAGGTAGAAGACAGAGGGGGTCAAGTCCGGAGAGGAGAATATATAGGATGAAGAAGAATTTCAAAGCCACAATCAATTGCAGAATATGTGAGCTGGCGCATTGTCGTTCAGGAGCAGAACGCATTGAATCAGTTTTCCCCTCCTTTCACGTGCGATTTTTTGACGCATGTTTCATCCTGAGTTACGATGCGGTAGATAAAAGCAGGTTTATCCTCGTAGCGAGACAAATTGATATCTTAAAATGTCAAGCCTGGTCCTTTTCTCTTCGTCAGTCAACTGTCTGGGGACCCATCTAGCGGAAAACCTTTGACATGCCAAAGACATCAGTCAGAATTGCCTTAACTGAACCAAAACTTATACCCACTTCCCTAGCAATGTTTCGCAGGTCTCGCCTTCTGTCGCACATGACCAGATCGTGCACAGCTTCGGTAGTTACATCGTTAGTGGCCTCTTTTGGCCGCTCATCATCTCCAATGCTCTCACTGCCCTTCTCAGATTCAGCAGCCCAGTTTTCACAGTGTTATAGGAAGGGGACTCCTTCCCAAGTTTATCCATAAAGTCTTCATGGATTTCCTTGGGGGACATCCCTTTCTTACAGAGGTTTTTAATGACGGCTCCGATTTCAACTTTCTCCATTTTGTCTAAATTACACACTCCTCTACTGATCAAAGTGTGTTTTGTGTTACTTAATCTTTTAAAAACCGCGTGTTACTCGGTCAGTAATCTTCAATATGATATCGGTATCGGCGTATCGTGTGTTAATGTCAGTGTAGTGGCCAGAAGTATATCGGGCAGAGAACGTTTTGATCATACCTCGTACATTTAAATGTTCTTAAAAATCGTAATTATACAGCATGTGATAGTAGCTTTGTAAAACGAAAAAAAAAAGTTACTTAAATGATCGAACGTATATATATTTTTTACAAGATAATGGATTGGACATACCTGATATGGTCATACATTGTTTTGTGTAAAGTAAAACGATATTGTGTTTAAGAAAGACAATTCATGTGTTCATATAATTAGATAAAGTTTAAAACAGAAGTCAAGTAAGCTAACAAGGTATGTTTACTTTGTTCACAGTTCTTTCCTTTAAATTCAGGCGCACATGTACATTCGTATTTAATGTTCCCATTTGTACACACGCCGCCGTTCAAACATGGCGTAACATCACACTCATCGGCAGGCACACCTTAATAAAGATGACTTTAAATGACAACATCAAACCAACAACATGAAATATAAATTTGAACACTCTGAGAATTATAAATGAAATATTAAGAAAATGTAGGTTAGTCAATTAATATGTTTCAATAATAATAAAAAAAGTATTTTCAACCTTTTGGCTTAAATAAAACAGTTACGAAATGATTTCTTGCTGTTAGGTTATAAAACTGATAATATTTAATGGAACACAGAGAATAGCGATATATTTGAGGTAGATAATAACAGAATAAAAATAAAAGACCTAACTATTACTGAACTTGTTATATTGAAAACTATTACTGAACTTGTTTTTTATTGAAAAAAGGTATGCCTTACTTTGTCCAAAGACTTCCACTTCACATAAATGAAAATATGTTTGTTTGTTCCTTAAAGTTACTCTGACGTAACGAGCTTTCACTGGAACAAATGTGAAAGATGCGAAAAGGCCCATTCGACCTCCCATATAGGCTGCCATCTTCCAGTTACCAGGATTTTTACTTGCTACAGAGATTTCAACATTCTGTGTTCTTGCACCTAAAATAAAATAAAAAAACATTTCACCTCCTCAGAAACTCCAATAAATATCTTTGTGAGTAATGGGTTAATATTGTGTTTATAATTTTGTAAACATAATGTGGGCTTCTACTTGTTGCTTATTGACCAAAATTTGTTAAGAACATTAGAAAATAATTCAGAATATAACCTCGTAAGAGAAACGCGTGCATACTCGGTTTGTTCTGGGGTTCGCTAACATTGATTGTATCCAAGTAATGTCTTTATGAAGACATTATTTAAACTAACACAGTGTTTTTTAGAAAAACAATTTATATTGCAATCATTTATGAAATGCAACTCAATGAGGCTAAGAACAGCGTGTTTCAAATTTCTTCCATAAAATTTAATAATTACGTTTAAATAAAAATATATATTATGAAAGTATATTAGTAAATATACATTAAAACGAAGAAAGCTACATACTGGCGTAGTTATCCTTCCTGTTTGTAATGTTAACTTGACTTATGTAATATATTTCCTGTAGATCGACTTGCCACCAGGGATTCATATTTAAACCTGTATGGAAACAATGATTGTGATGTACGTTACCATCAGCATTACCATCATTCCCTTTCTCAGCAAACCATACATCTTGATGAACACTTGACTGACTGGCTGGTTTCCCAAGGGCAAGGTTAACTAAAGCTGAAGTTATGTAATCATAAACATTTTACAATTTTAACATTTATTTTAGAATTTATTTTCTTAACATAGTTTCCTTAACCGGTAATAAAACGTTTTTAAAGTGCGGTAAGAATTTCTTACATATAATGTGTAAAACATTTAAATGATTGCAAAATTGAAATATTTAGAACATAAATGCACATTTTTAAGTTGACATTTTACCTGCATTTGACTGTGTTGTTGTCAGAACAACCATTATCGTCGAACCTAACTGAAATATTAAAAGCATAAAGATTTTTAATGGTGCATTTCATAAGTTTGTTATGACTATTTTACGTTTATTGTACTTGTATGAGTGGTATTTTATCTTTTTAACTTGTATTAGAGGCAATTATATCTATTTTACTTGTACCAGAAACAATTATATCTATTCTATTTGTACAAGTGTTAATTCTATCTATTGTACTTATATACGTGTCAAGTTCATGTATATATACATTACGTGAATAAGTGACAACAACTATATTTATACTATTGGGACGATTCATTTAATAGCAACAGCTTTTATCCGAATATCATATTAGAATATCATACAAGAAATAACACACGATCTGGTTATGTATTAAACATTGTGACAGTATAGAATATCACACTTTAACTAAGGAGGATGAAACTATGTACGAAAATTAAGAAATACAATAAACTATATTATACCAAGGAAGAAAGTATCATCTTCTTCATGTTTGAATATAGCTTGACAAGATTTCCAAAAGACAAGAGTGAAATCAATGATCTTTCTTCTGAAAGTGCAAAATTTATATTATATAACGCAACTCAAAAGTGAAAAAAATGCTAATAATTACCTATTATCTTAATATGTTTCCCTTGATCATTTGTGTAATAAATAATAAGTCAATTGTCCAGTCAACAGGGTAAAATGGCAACATATATTTTTTTCTGTTTCTTATTAAAAATGGGATTTTGATGATTGTGATTACGCGCAAACTTTACAAAGATATTCTTAAGTCAGAGAGCATTTTTTATATGTCACTCGTGATTGACGAACTCTTTATGTATAAAATATCAATTGTAATTAAAAAAGAAAACAGAAACACTAAAATGACATATTACGAAAAGAAATGCAGATCAACTGAATTTAACATGGATAATGCTTCGAAGTAGAAATACTATTTAATTTGCTACTATGAACATAATTTTTAATGACCGCAAATGAGGCGTGCCAGACAAAAAAGTACAGCTTAACTATTTTATGTTAATGGAAATACATTGATGATTAATATTTAACGACCAGACAAAATTCAAAAAAGAAGATGCCACAAAAAATTAGTACTTTGGAAATGGACTTATATTAACCAAAACCAAACACATCTTGGTTAAGATTAAATATACTTAGATTCTTTCCATTTTGATGAAAATAAATACAAACTGTATGTATGTTTTTGTGTTTATTAGTAAAACAAAATTGTTTCAAATTCCCTTATATATAAGAACTTTTTCCTTTGATAAAAGGGGAGGAAAATCAAATAATTGAATTCACACTAAGAAATCAGAGAATTTTAAGATCCTGTATGTTATAATTTTAGTTGTTTCCACACTTAAGTGAACTTTTTATATATGTATAATTATGCCTTTAAAGCAATTTTCAAACATCGAAGAATGTGTAAAATATGCAGTGCAAATATTTGTCACATTATATGTAATCATTAAAATATATGCATTCATTTCTTATTGAAATATTTGACTTAGACGTTATAGGAGTAATTTCTTTATTTACATGAAATGTTAAATTCGGTAATATCTTAATAAATAATGCTTTTTGGAACTTACAATATTGGTAAGTCTTAATTTGAGCATCATATTTATGATAAAAAAAACATAAAAAAATTTGTGTTACAGGATCTTTAAACTATATTAGATGAATAATATAATTACGTCATTGTAACTGTGTTTGAAAGAAAAGAAAAACACCCATAAAACTAAATAATTTTGAAATATTCTTAAATGAAACGGTAAATATCTATTTTATACTCACATTTTCACTGAATGGTCCAAACACCGAATTGCATATGCTGGTAGTCCGTTGCTTTACATTGATAATATACTGTTTGTCTTGCAACATACTGCAACATTTCAAAGCCAAAATCTACTTGTATAGCAATAAATTTTATTCAGAAGCTTTTCACATTGTTTGTATACAAAAGACTTCATGAAACATGTGTGGCGACGAAAATTTAATTTAACTTTGTGGCCATAAAGCTAACAATAAAATTTCAAAACACCTTATTTATAAATGTGACATCTGCTGAGGACATGATTTATACATTTTCCTAAGCTTCATCATTTGAGCGGTAGCATGCAATAAAATATTGTTAAATGCACATGATAAATTCACAGGAATTATGAAATATTTATTATACTAGTATTACATTTCTTGTGACTGTAACAGAAAATACACGTATACGCCAATTGCCTTTATTCCTTTATAATCATTAATACAAAATCTATTTGCCTAACGATGAGAGCAAGATTTACAAGTTCAAGGCCAAAAAACAAAACAATAGTTATTTCAATTGTGCTCACATTTAAAACATATTCCAGTAAAGTCTCCATTATTTCAGTTGATATTCTTCAGTTGATATTTTTTAGTTAAGTGGTCTTCATGCAATACCGGGTTTATCCCTGAAATACCTACTACGATTTAATTTTTGCGTTTTGGTCTGTAGATATTTATAACAAATGTTTTTTATAACAAAATTTCCAAAACATAGTTATTCCGACCATTTAATTGAGACTACAATAATATATAATGTGTAACCAAATCCAAAACTCAGAACACCATCCTGGAAATGCAAAAGGACATTAGTATAATGTGATGAAAATGATATGAGTCATAAAACCAATAAAGGTACATGTATATTGTAAAGACTCATGTACATTAGGGCTTTGTGTTTATACAAAAAGTGAAAACAAATAGGAACACGTATATACCCAACATAGTTTTAGAAAATGGACATCAAATGAGAAGAGATGTTTCATAAAATACCTTTGAGACAAGACTGTCAATTGTCATTATCTGATTTTGTACAATTGTGAGTTTGTTATAAAAGCAACACATGTTACCAAACATGTACTAGATGATTCACTACCAAATAAATGCATATGAAGTAAATGGTTTTAAAGAGGTATCTTGAAAGAGCGCATTTTCCATAAATATTTTACATATTGATTTAAAAGAATAGAAATGAACCATTTGTGTATTTTCTTAAACATCGCTTGAAAAAAAAACCTTGATAAAGTTCTATGTGATTTAGTATGAGCATTTATATGACGAATAGTGATATTATTTTTATAGAAAATTTTATTTTCTCTAAAAAAAATTATGTAGTATCTGATCTTGAATCTCACATTTGTCAACAACATCCATATTTAACTATTTCATATTGTTTTGCTATGTCTAAATGCAACATTTATTTATTGTATTACAGACCCTCCATTACCAATTCATTTTAATAATCTTAACAATAACGTTTACTTTCTTAATTCCATTGCTAAAGTCTATATTGTTCGTGTTTTCAAATATAATTGATCTTTAATTTCCCTGTGCATTTTTTTAAAATCTCATTAAATATCAAAGTATGTACAAGTACTGAAACTTACAAAATATATTCGACGTATAATTCGTCGACTATGGGTCGAAAACTGTTCCGATATTCTTCTAAGTCTTGTGCCTTGATGAGTCAAAATGTCTTAGATACAGAAATGCCTCTTGTTTCTTTCACTAAGATGTACACAGTACGGTATCAGTACATACATTTTTTTATTATAAGTGTTTAAAATGAATTATAAGAGAAGACATGTTCTTATTATTGATAATACTAGTCTTGACTAAAGGTTTAAGAATGTATTTACAATTTAATAGTACTAACTTAACTCGTTCGACAATTATCAGAAGTATGTCCCTGAATATAACTGTTAATCTTGTAAAATTAAGATATTGAAAACTATCAAAAAGTTTTTTGCACTTCATGGTTGCTTTTCAGGTATCATTATATATTGTCATCAGCTTATCGTCGATATATATTATTTAATCAGGTGACAAATGTGGATACTTTTTTTTTATTACAAATCTTTCTAGAAAGTCAAGTGCTTTGCATACGAGCAATGTACATACTATACTAGTCCATTTGGTTCGTGAAATTGTCGTGAAATAGTTCCACTTTTTACATTCAAAATTGTTGAAAAAAAATTCATGCCAAAATATATTTGAAAAAGGATAGACTGACTATCTGTTGATAATGACACATTTTATTTTGATGTATGATTCTCTAAAAAAATTTATATGTTTTTACGTGAGGAACAGATGGCATTTCCATATGACAAATAGGCAGTTTTACAATAATAAGACGCTGCACTGTAAGGAATTTGATTAATATTTTATCGTAAGCTTATCAAAAAAAGTTCTGTTTGTAACTTCTAATGAATTAGCGTCAATTAATATCAAACAAATTAGTTTGATATCTTAATGTATCAATTTTAACATACACAATATAAACATATTGGGACAAATTTGTGCTACCTTAATTAAAATCTTATATTTATTTTAATCTTTTTTAAAAATTTGTTCCTTATTATTTCACAAAGTACATGATGAAACATGAAATTCAGCGAACATTTAGTAATTCCTATAGCTATTCATTCAATTTTGAGATAAATTATAGATTATTTATGGATTCTTGTTAAGGTAGCACACCCCTAATCGGCACTATAAGGAACTGTAAAATTGACAGCATAAGACAGTTATAATTATGCCTTAAATGTCACCTGAATGCAAATTTTAAACAAAATTTACTATGTGGTTTATGAGTTACGGACATTTTTCAGAACTAAAACTTTGTCATTAGAAGGGATTTTTTCAGAAATGAGTAAACTCTAAATAATCTGTAATATCATCATTATGGAACATGTTTTCCTACTGCTCATTGTTAAGAAACAAATAATGACATTCAGGTAACAAATTAAACGAGCAAAATGATTGTTTCTAAACATAATGTTTTAATATGTATAAAAATGTAACCCTACCCACCCACTTTAAACACTTATTTGACCATTTCCCTATGTAAAAAGCGTTATTCATAATATCCCTAAAGTTTACCAAAAATAGAGGCTGTTTTCAAAGTTTGCCAAACTTTTCTTGAATTTATATTGGTTGGTCTTGCAAATATAAAATACCTTTACCGTGTATTCTTTATTTTATTAAACTTTGAAAATATCTTGTTTCATATTTGCCATTATATTTGGCATTTTTAGCAAAATAAATCCCTACAATAATTATATAATTAAAATCAAAATGTTTTTCTTCCATAAGGGATCTGAGAGATACTGAAAAATGTTAAAAAGATAAAAAAGAAATAAAAAAGTTGTCCCTTCTGGGGCTTGAGCCTACACCCCTCAGTTTCAATGCACTTGACATTGATTATAGTCTATTTGAATACTCTTCAAGTAGACATAATGCATTAGAGGTGTACTACCTTAAACAATATATGTGTATTGTAAGAACAGTTATTCATTATTACGAATACGCCAGGTGCCTAGTTAATTTCGATTTTCTTTTATTGGAAGGCGACAGAAATTCCATTGTAATCTGATATTCAGCCATTCTGCATGAAAAGGATTTCATTTGCACATGTTGCTTGAAACTTTAAATTTCAAATCAATCATATTAAAATAGAAGCATATTGAAATACTGGGGCTCTGTTATATTGTTATGTTTATCACATAAAACGCGGCGCAGGAGTGTAATAAAGCCATTTAATAAAAACGATATTACACTAGTGTAATAACACTTTGACGTGACGTCATTTGCACTATATAGAAACATAGCGTTAATGTTAGCGTTACACCATAGGCGCGTCATTGAAAAATTACTCATTTTAACAGTTTACTGTTCTTATTTTATATATGTGATAAAAAGAATATTATATTCGTGCAGATTTAATACTAAATTTATTGAATTTATTTGATCTCACATGTAAAACAAACAAATTTTCTGTTTATTTCATGATTTTTTAACGATTTTTACACCATTTTACTGATTTTTGCCGCGTAACGTCATGCTCTTATCTCCATGACGTCATCAAATAATGACGTCACAATGTTGAAGCAAAATATAATTCCATGATTATTTTTAGATTTTAGATGTTTTTCAGCACAACGTTCTTAAATATTTACGAACTACAGTTATCACGTACATTTTTTATTATGATTGACTACATTTCCGCTGAAAAAACATTCATTAATGATAAATATTTTATTTTTACGCCAAATATAGTTCGGCTACTGTGAAATTATATTTGGTAATCATTACTGTGAAATTATCAGAATATAATTAACCGTTATAATTCAGTAATCTACTGCAAAACATGTAATAAACTAGTGTAATAACACTTTGACGTGACGTCATTTGCGCTATATAGAAACATAGCGTTAATGTTAGCGTTACTGGCATGCGAGCAGTTCCCGTACAAAAATCGTAGTTATTTAAACATTATTTTTTATTACGCTCACTCACCAAAATTTGAATGTTACACATCAATATTCGGCTCGTCACACAAATCATGGAAATTCCATCATGTTCTAAACATACAATAACCCTTAGTTATGAGGCCTCATATGGGGTACCGAAATTATCCATTATTTTGTGTGAAGAGAAGTAGTTCCCGTACATAAAATTTAACCCATTATATTTATACAATTTTATTATATCGGACCTATTTTTCATTTATAATTGTTGAACAGACCATTTTCTAAGAGATAAATAGATGTAATTCAGGAAATAGAAAGTAGACTAAACGCGTGTATCTATTGCCCGGTACCGTTACCCCCAACGCATTCACATGCGATGGCATGCTTGTATGCATGATATTTTACGCATCAAAGCCATAAAATCATTTTATATAGTAACATTGGTCAAAATTCTGATAATGAAACAAGTTTTCATCACATTGCCTTCTTATCTGTAAACAGGTGGTATTAGTGGAAAACCCCTTAACATGCCTCACGTGTAAGTATGATTGCGCATGCGCGCAAGGACGGAATCCCCCAGATAAAACAAGGTCACGTTTTGACAACGCACAGGTGAAAGTGATTTA